AGGGGACACTTCCTGCTCAACCCCCCCCCCTTCCTCCCACCCCATCTCTTCCTCTTTTTCTCTAAAGCACAACTGGTCCTTTATCCTTATCTGATCTCCGTCCAAAACAGCAGCAAGCGGAGAATTGATTTGCTTACCGGACAGCGTCAATTGGCTCTTTTCAGTTCAAATTCCCCCCCACCAACCTTCAGAGACCAGCCAGGAGTCTAACTCTGCTCACAAGCCAGAGCATGCTTTTCTCCGAAGGAAAACCATGATAAAAAAGGAACATACAGAAGGCACTCTCCTACAAATACGGTATATACAGGGGTGCCCAATATGTGCAATGGGGCCCTGTAAGTGCCAGAATTTAAAGGGAAATCAGGGATTGTAGGCAAAACTGTGCTTAATAATCAGAAAATGCATATAACATCCAAGCATTTGTACAAATGTGCATCTTGTATCCTTTCTGAAACGTCTGTATTTCTGTCTGCGATGGGGGCGTTGCACCCTGTTGTCATTTGCTTCTTCCTGCACAAACATACACTGGAGCCATTGTTTGGAGGCATCTGCACACTCACACAACACAACGCACCTTCGCAGATGACATTTAACACTAAATGAGGGAAAGGTTAAAGAAAAAAAAAAACACTGGACAACTAAGCGCAGCACATGAGCATAGCAACCATCAGTGAGAAGCCGTAGTGGAAAGTTGAGCAAAAAGCAGGGCTGAGCAGGGGCCATAAAACAACACAGGAGCCATGTCCACATCCTTCCTGCCAGTGCCGCTTCCTGGAGAGTCTTCGAGCCATCGGCGCCCCGCCCAGCGACGGCAGGAGGCAGCTGGGAGGAGCCGCCCGGCCCACGTGGCCGAGAGGAAGCAATCGAGTGGCAACGCACAGATTGGAGGCACGAAAATCCCTCCAGAACAAACTCATCAGCAAACCAAGGGGGGAAGACATTAGGAGCTGAGACTCATCAAGCTCACGCCGAGCAGGAAACCAAACGAGACTTTCTGCTTGGTCACGGCTTGATTCACAGCAGGCCCAGCACCACCTCATGGGTCAACTCAAGCTTTTTAATGTTTTAGGAAAACAGCAATACGCAGTTCAAATAACACTGAATATACTGCTTTACTGCTCCATCAGTACAGCTGGTGAGCCTCTAAGATTTATTTTTTCTCCTGCAATTCACCACGAGCCCATCCACCCTCTGCTTCAGCCTCATCTGAGAGGGCTATCAGGGTGGAAAGACAAGGTAAAAAGCTGTTGAGTTGGGATCACGAGTGCCCGGCTGCAAAGGACATTATATGTTTAAAGTGCCAATAACCTCTAGTAGTCTGGGGCACCTTCTAATTTCCACACACATGACCATAATGTCAAAAAACTGCTGGGTGCTCTCATATATTCACAATAAAGAAGCCCCACAAAAATTATTCCACTACATAATGCTAAAAATCAATATCTATTATTAGCAAATAAGTCACTGAAACTGTAAAGTCACCTAGCTTTTCTTTCACAATATCCCCATGGGTGCTGTGGACTTGCACTCAACGAACAGTATCTCAGCCAAATGACTGGCAATAATTCAACATCCATTAGGCACAACATTTCTAGGATAATTCCAAGAACAATTATGTAACAAATTCACAGTAAGATTTTTCGTTTCTCCATGTTTCACGTTTTCACATGAACCCCTATTGTGGGCATCCTGACCTCTACTTCCTGTAATCGTGGACAGACGACGGGCTGACAGAGGAGGGCTCACAGTCAGCCGAGCATTCCTGAGGCAGTCTTGCGCAGACAGTTTTAAGCCTCAGCTGAACTAATTACCTCCCAGATCACATCACTTAAACTCCGTCTTCCTGCAGTTTCATACAATGCCCTTTGTGCCCACATGTAAGCCCAACCAAAATCAGTTTTAGAATGCCTCTCATCCTGAAACCAGAATCTGGGTCATCTTTCTCATCCTCTTGCAAGGCGATGTCTTCAATTTTTGACAAAAGCACAATAAGAAGCTCACGAGTGACACTTAATTTCTAGACATGGGTCCTGCTCAGATCTGACTTTTACCTTCTTCCACTGCACGAGCATTTGATCTGTTCTCTTTTTTTAGGAGGTAAAATACCTCAATGTTAATAAGCACCCCCAGCTGCAAATAGCACCAGGTCAGGCCATTTCATTGCGAGTCTCTGTAAACGACTGTAATTTCCACAGAGGCAGCAAAATCCTTGTTATCTCATCTCTTCAGGGGATTCATGTCAGAAACATACATTAAAAAAATAGAAAGCACAAATCAGGCTAAAGATAACCACCACTATCTCAGTCTAAAATATGCAGTTATTTCAGGCAAATGTATTCATTCCTTTTTGTCTGTTTATAAGGCAGTCTAAACGCATTGCAGTCAGGTTAGCCCCCATCACACTCAGTTTCCCAATCAGCCCCTCAGGGTCTGAGCACAGCTCTTGCAGTTGAAAATTAAACATTCACCCGTTAACCTACAATATTCACTGCCCCGACTCCATCCCACAAAAACACAAACGCATAATGAAAATAAATGTCATTAACAAACAAATGGCACTTTTGCATCTCCACTCCATAACCCTCCTTGGAAGCTAAACTGCTATCAAAGAGAAGCAGCACAAGAAGGCACACCGTGCTATATTCAGAGGTCAAAGGTCACTGATTACCATTAATCTTGGACTGTCCATCATTAACGTAGGAAAAGCCCTGCAGGCTCGCTTAGATTAATCAACACTGAATTAGACAAGCAAGAATATCAATTTTAAAAACATCAAATGCTCACATTCTTGTGGTCCCCAAGGGCTCATGGGATACAGAGTTGCCATCGCTGAATTTTGTACCACAGAGAGAAAGGGCAGCAGGAGAGAAAAGGGAGGCAGGAGGGCAGACAAACAGGAGCATACTGGTACAAGTGGCCGTCCCGGTCGGTTTGCAGTATCACACACTGTACTGTGGACAGGATTCATCGGCTGTAGACAGCGGCAAAAGCCTTTCAATCTGAAAGCAATTATTTTTTTTTTGCAAAATCCCATATCTTAGGATTTCCCACGAAAATGGCTTCACTCCCAAAGGCCCATGGGTTGCAGATTTGTGTCCCAATCAGTGTTCTGCCTGTTGTGTATTTCACATCCTGTCAGTAATTGAGACAGGAGCGTTTTTCAGCTGGAACTGTCTAAACAGGGCGTAGGAGGAGGGAGGGGGAGGGAGAGGGT